TCATATATAATTCAATAAGAATTAATTCATTTATTGCCCCTTTAAAATTAATATAATGAATTGTCAATTATTAAAATATTGACCCTTTATTAATATAATATATGAGCAATAGTTTTAAAATTGCTTGTTGGGATTTTTCTGTCTGATAGACACAATGTTATTTCAAAAATAAAAATTAGTAAAAAATAAGTTAATAAAGGTAATTTCCCTAAACTACTGGATCCTTAAGTTACTGGTAAAACATATAATAAGCCTGTAATAAACCATATTTTTAATTACATAAACTTTTTAATCCATTAATAACTCAAAAATGTAATAATATTTGTGAAAGGCACATCTGGACACATCTGGATCAGGACTGATCTATTTTCTGGGCTTTCAGTGATATTTGATTGGATTATCAATTCATTGCTTTCACAATGTCTTCGGATGGACTCAATCGACGTGAAAGAGTTGTCAATAGGAATGGCGACACAAATGAGGAGAACTTGTGTCGAGTGGTGTCTCGAGAAGTGTCGCCCGAAAGACTACAGAACCAGAGTATTATAAAGCGAGTGATGAGCGGAATGGCGCTCTCGATGACTATTCTTGCAATGGTTTACTATACGACACAATGCAATAACACCAAAGAGCTAGTGATGGCTTCGGCCACTCAATCCATAACGGGTTCTCCGATCGCACAGCAAGTCATGTGTTCTCAAGACTATACCGCAGACAGAGTTCGGTTCCCGTCGTGCGTCCTTCAAAGATGCGGACGTTTTGTGTCCGATTCGGTGATCACTGAATCGGAAGCCAAACACTTGTTGTCAGTCGCGAAGAGAGGCCTATCAATGGGTGGCTCTTCGGGCGGCCACTCTCTCCTCAGCTTACATTCGGGCGACCTTTGAATGGCAACTAATATCGTGAATATCTATAAACTCATTGAAAGGACACAACGAACGGAGGCGGACCTGAAAGAGCTGTTCACCGAAAAAGACCTAAAAGTCTACAGACGGGTGAAGAACAGAATCCGCAAAACGATTGCAATTCAGTTCGGCATCCCTTGGCCTCAGCTCTACTTAACTAATCCGACGTATTTCTCGAGGATGACGGCAAAGAGGGCCCAAATCAGATCCGACAAGTATTGGCTCCGACACGTTGACAACAAGAATCGATTCGATCTCTTCACTTCTCTGCTGTATTTGTCGACATATGGCGCGGACTTCACGGGCGGGCGCTTCATATTCGCCGACCAGATGTCGAACACAACAATTGAGCCTAAGTTGGGACGACTCGTGGCCTACACCGCGGGCTCAGAGAACCGGCACCGCGTCGAGAGGGTCACCTCCGGGACCCGATATGCGCTGCTTATGGCCTTCACCTGTAACCATGAGTTCGCCGCCAAAGACCTACCGATTGTTAGACAGCAGACATGCGACCAACCATTTTGTTTGCTGTATGGCGTAGGCTGTCCAACATTATTTTCTACGAATAAATTTTCTGAATAAATCTCCAGCCTGAATAAATGTTCTCCCACAAAATTATTAACGAATTCAGACTAAAGTGGATATATACTGTATATTGATTATGTAAAATCCAAATAAATGAGCCAGTAAAATCCAGATATTGTTATTTTATTTAATTAAAATATGTGTGGCCCGATTCCAAACTATAATAATTCCAAATGCACATAAATTATTATGAACTATAGGTAATACATTGATACATTGGTCAATATTATGTAATTAATTTAATAGTTAATACGTTATTATAAATACTAGTTTAATTATAGTTTTAAATTTAAACTAATTAACATTCAATTATATTGAAAATTCTTTCATTAAAATGATATAATATCTGTTTTTATATACAGTTTATTTAACTTACTGGCCAAGTGTATCACTGGTATCATAGGAGTCGTCGTAAAAGTTTTTAATATGTTTAGCGTTATAAATGATACCCAAATCCATTAATGAGCCAACACACACGAATACCAGTGCCGTGCCGTGTAGGTAGTACCTGAACTTATCCTGGTCATATATCCAACAGTTTCCAGTCTTCCCACACTTGCTCTCCCATACCAAACACGTCGAGTCGACTACCGCTCCGAATATCAACGGATACGGAATGAACGCTAACATTGAGTTAAAGGTTAATTTTTTTTGTTTATTAATTTATTAAATTTATTTTTAACTATTTGCTAAATCTCATGATAATAAAGGCACTATATAATGCTTACCAAATATAGCCATAAAAGTACCCATCACACCCATGGCAAAACTTTTATCTTTCGGATCCAGAGCTCTATAAAAACAGTATATTCGCAGTCATTATTAATATACAAAATGATTTCATAAATATTTGATACCTAAGTGTAAGCAATGCATTGCCAGTTCCGGTAGTAGACAATATTATACTGGCCACTGTCATCATAACTAAATACGGCATCAAATTATTGCAGTTATCGGTATCGCTTTGACAGAAGCCTGTGGTGGCTTCACCCCCACCCTCGTAATCACCAATACATGAACACCCGGACACTGTCTACAAAGTAAATATATTAAACGAGAATTAGCAGAAAATGATTAAATTAAATCTTCAAATTAAATAAATTATCAATGTAACTACAATACCCCCGATGCTCTGTCCAATTGATTACAGCCCGCAAAACACGGCGAGAAATATGTAGTCATCTTATCCTCGGCACAGATCGGTGTGAATACTCTGGTCGTGCACTCACAACCGGTATTGCATTTGGTATTCAATGAAAATCTATTGTAAAATATAGTATTCATACAGAATATAATTACTATAACTTATAATATTTAAAATTTATAAAATAATTACTGATTATCGGGTGTAAGTCCAGTGGAGTGTAGGTTAAGTGATGGACAACCGGTAAACATACCAAACAGAAGAGCTCCGTTGGTAACGAACTCAATAGCAAACATGTATATAACAAGTGTGAGGGGTCGGGGTTTTATAAACTTAATTATTACTCCGCCTAATATGATACCGATAGCCACGGGTAGTACAGATGTGGCACCGGTTAAGAAACTGGCGCCTGAACTCGATTGTCTGAACTGTGACTCAATATATTTGGTTTTGTTTATATAATATCCACCAAAACCTATGTATCGAAACACTCCTCCAATCATATGAAACATTATTATAGGATTTTTAACCAAACGTTTGATGCCAGCAATTATTCCTATGAATATAATTAGATAATTATATGTATTAACCTTGATAACATTATAGAGCTTAGAAGCACAGATTCCAGAAATCAACTAGTGATGCATGCATTTGCTATTTATGAATACTATATACAACGCTAGTATTTAAAGGTTTATTGGAAACATTAAAGATTAAAGTAGTATTTAGTTAAATATCCATCAATTAATCTATTAATCATAAAAGAATTAAAGTAAAATTTACAATAAATATATGATTTGTCACAGTAAACAAAATATTTTATTAAATAATACATTAGTGCTGTAGATAATTAATAAGTTTAGTTGTATAATACATCACTATTTTGGGGATTTAAAAAATTCTGTACCTCTGGTTATAGACTGTATAAACTTCATTCATACCCTTAACTCCACTGACATTTTCCTTGAGATCTTTCACTTTAACGGTCGCTGTTTTGAATTGTTTTGGGAATAAAAACATCGGAAGAGTTACAATCAATAATAACGATCCTATTATAACAAATCCAATCCACCATGCTCCTATGAAACGAGGATCCCTTCGAGTTATACCAGGGTCATCTGAAATTTTTAAAAAGGTATGATAATTACAAGCTTGGTTTAGAGTATTATTTAAATTACACCTTAGATTAAAAATATATTTTTAACTATGAGTCATAGTCTATGACTAATATTGAAGAAGCTGGGAGTCATACCTCTTGGCCTCATATGACTCGTTAATAAAGTATTTAACGGTTTCGTAGTAATGAATGAATCGATGGCCGCATTCCCGACTCGTTCTCCGCTCTATTCATGTGAACCCGGAATTTAGTGATGCCTAACGTGAACGCAGTGTAGTGTAGGCGCCGATACAGCCCAGTGTTATGGCGGCCAATTGTCCGCCAAACCTATAGTACAGAATACAATGCTTCCAGAGATAGTCTCCCAATTCTGGCATTCATTTAACATTGAATTTTGCATATTCTTTATTCTTTGCGTCTAAACCCTGACATACTTTGAATTTAATAAATGTTGGCGGAGGTGGTCGGGTAGGGTGATTTGTAGGGTTGTTGGCGGAGGTGGTTGGATATGGATAATTGAAATAAAATTGAGAAAAATCCATCACTTATTCGGTTTATTGACTATCAATATATCAATCAATTGTCGCACTTTTATCTGTAATATAATAATCTGTCGACGACTGGGAGGTGTTGTCCACCACTGACTAACCAAAACTGTCAATGGGTTTCGTGTCCTCAACATCTGCTCCAATGCCTCCGTAAACCTCATATCCAAGCCTTGCGTTTCATTCCGATCGCACAAGACTTCACGTCAGGAGCCGACTCTCGAGTCGTTTCATTGGTCAGCGCTTTGGCCACACCTTTGATCTGGGCGACGGACTTGAGTCGAATCTTTTGGGACATTAGGTTTGGAGGCATTTGATGGTCGCCTCTCCTGTCTTCTCTATTTGGCCGCCGTTTTGGAGACATCTCTGGTCAGCACTTATGGCGTCTGTCGAGCTATGCCTTGAGGCCTCTCTTTGGTCACTGTTTTGTGCAAATATTTTCGAGTTTATCGTTAGAAAGCCTTTTGAAATGGTTGTTACCACTCGTGCCCCCAGAAGTAACAAAACTATTTATTACTGAATGAAGTGACAAGTGAGTGGACAGTCTGTATTTTGTTCCTCAATAATATATATTAATAATTTTATAGGTGTTACAGTTTTAAAGGTTATAAAAAAGAAATTTGGGCTTCCTATAATCTTACATGACAACGCGAAACCTCATAAACATCGCTTGGTTAGGGAGTTTCTGCAAGATAAAAGATGGGAGGAACTTGACCACCCCACATATAGCCCTGATATGTCACCGCCGGATATGGACGGAATCCAGCGCATTAAAGCCCCAAACAAGGGGAAGCAATTCCAAACTCGAGATGAGCTCATTCGGGATTATGATGCGACAATAAGAGGGATTTCGGAGCAACANGATATGTCACCGCCGGATATGGACGGAATCCAGCGCATTAAAGCCCCAAACAAGGGGAAGCAATTCCAAACTCGAGATGAGCTCATTCGGGATTATGATGCGACAATAAGAGGGATTTCGGAGCAACATACATCTTTGGGTATTACCATGCTCCCTGATCGGTGAAGAGCAATTCATTTGGGGAATGGGAAATATATTGAATGATTAATAAAATACGAAAATATCATTAAGATATCTTGTTGCATTTCTAAGATATTCAAAAAAGAAATTATCTGGACATATCCTGGCGCATGTAATATCAAGCAATTTTAAAACTATTGCTCATATATTATATTAATAAAGGGTCAATATTTTAATAATTGACAATTCATTATATTAATTTTAAAGGGGCAATAAATGAATTAATTCTTATTGAATTATATATGAATTATTCTATCTAGGGTTTACCTGCTCAGAGTTTTTTACTCATTTTGCTACCTGAAACTGAGGT